GCAAGGCAGAGCCCCCAAAGTCTGGCTTGCAAAGGCGGAAGGGCTGGACTCCATGAGTTCTGACAGCCAGCAGGACTTAACATGTGGAATGTTAAAAGTGAACAGCTCTGCCCTCGGAGAGCAGCGAGGGCGAGAGGACATCGGGAAAGAGAGTTATTGAGCCCCAGAAGACAGAGCTCAGCTCAGTGGAGAACAAAGGCACTGGCAAGCGCCATCTCTCTCTCTCCCATCCCCCAGCCGAAATCCCAAAGGAAACCAGTTTCTGTCACTGAACTTGCTTGCACTGCGCAAACACCCAACGCTGTGCTTCTGTGGATCCATCCCTCCGACAGGTCTGCCTCCCTCCTGGTGCTGCAGGGCCCCTCCTGCAGGGGACCACCGACAGCAAAGCGAGCTAAGCCTGCCCCTCCCGCCCCTGTGCACCTTGCGGATCCATCCCAGTTAATACACCAGATCCCATCAAAGCATCACCACAAGCCTGGCAGTGTGCAAGTAGCCCAGATGGGGGCCACACCATCCACAGTGAGTCCTGCCCCTGGGAGAGGGGAAAATAAGGTACACACCAGTCTGACTGTGGCCCCAGCAGTGGGCGGGGGGCAGACATCAGGTCTGACTGCAGCCCCGCCCACCAACACAAGTTACTCCAGACAGCACAGGGAAAGTGCCCTGCAGTTCTGCGCCACCCAAGGGACTATCCAAAATGACGAAACGAAAGAATTCCCAAAAGAAACTCCAGGAAGTAGCAACAGCTAATGAATCAATCAAAAACGATTTAAGCAATATAACGGAACAAGAATTTAGAATAATAGTCATAAAATTAATCGCTGGGCTTGAAAAAAAGTATAGAGGACAGCAGAGAATCTATTGCTACAGAGATCAAGGGACTAAGAAATAGTCAGGAGGAGCTAAAAAATGCTATAAATGACGTGCAAGATAAAATGGAGGCGACCACAGCTCATATTGAAGAGGCAGAGGAGAGAATAGGTGAATTAGAAGATAAAATTATGGAAACAAAGGAAGCTGAGAAAAAGAGAGATAAAAAAATCCAGGAGTATGAGGGGAGAATTAGAGAACTAAGTGATGTAATCAAACGGAACAACATCCATATAATAGAAATTCCAGAAGAGCTGAAGAGAGAAAAAGGGGCTGAAAGTGTACTTGAACAAATTATAGCTGAGAACTTCCCTGATCTGGGGAAGGAAAAAGGCATTGAAATCCAAGAGGCACAGAGAACTCAATTCAGATGTAACTTAAATCGATCTTCTGCACGACATATCATAGTGAAACTGGAAAAATACAATGATAAAGAGAGAATTCTGAACCAGCTAGGGATAAACATGCTCTAACATATAAAGGGAGACCGATAAGACTAGTGACGGATCTATCTACTGAAACTTGGCAGGCCAGAAAGGAATGGCAGGAAATCTTCAATGTGATGAACAGAAAAAAAATATGCAGCCGAGAATCCTTTACCCAGCAAGTCTGTCATTCAGAATAGGAGAGATAAAGGTCTTCCCAAACAAACAAAAACGGAAGGAATTCATCACCACTAAACCAGCCCTACAAGAGATCCTAAGGGGGACTCTGTGAGTGAAATGTTCCAAGGACCACAAAGTACCAGAGACACCACTACAAGCATGAAACCCACAGACATCACAATGACTCTAAACCCATATCTTTCTGTAATAACACTGAATGTAAATGGACTAAATGCTCCAACCAAAAGACATAGGGTATCAGAATGGATAAAAAAACAAGACCCATCTATTTGCTGTCTACAAGAGACTTATTTTAGACCTGAGGACACCTTCAGATTGAAAGTGAGGAGAGACAGGGAAGATGGCGGCTTAGGAGGACGCTGGGCTCACCTCACGTCCTGCTGATCACTTAGATTCCACCTACACCTGCCTAACTAACCCAGAAAACCACCAGAAGACTAGC